TCCTATGGCGATCTGAGCGTTGGGCGTACGGGAGGCGTCTCGATGACGGTGCAAGCCTCGACAATCTCCTTCTTGTGCAGCTTGGCACCGGGACGGTCAAGGTCGCGGACGATGGTGGTCATGCCGGCCTTGTAGCCCATGGCGGCCGTCAGGTGGACGGGCTTCTTGGGGTCATCCTTAGGGAAGCTGCAATTCTCATGAGCTCGCTGTCCAAGTTGCGGGCAGCGCCATTCTCACCTCTTGACCTTGCCCCTGTGGCGGGCAGCGCGCTTGCGCGGCAAGAATGCCAATGACCCGTGACGGGGAGCCTCGAACTTCCTGTGAGACATGGTGTTCGATGTGCTGTGGTTAGTATCGAGGTTGTCGAGAAGTTCGCTTGATTGCAGATTATTAGAATAGTGCTGTGCGCGCTAGCGAGGCCTTAGCGCCGTTTTCCGATGGCGGCTTCCGTGCTTGGCGGCCCCGCGAGAGGTGATGCACCCAAATCGCCCACTACGACACGCTTTGTCTTGTACCTGCGCTGCAATCTTTACCTTGCATCGCCTCCCGCCCTCATAACAGCCCCGCTACCGAGCCGGGTCCCATCGCCCAACACCAACCCAGCGCCCGCTGCCAACAACGTCCGCCGCACTCGCTGTTCACCCCACACCGCTGCCACTGCATCATCCACCAGCCCAGCATTACTTGCTTGCCCATCCTCGACGTCGGCGGCGCTCTCCCACTCCCACTCCCACTCCCACTCCCACTTCCGCCGCACCCCAGCCCCGTAGCTACCGCACTGAGCAGCTCTTTCACTGCTAGACTAGGATCGCAGAAGGTCTTAGCTCTCCCTCCAAGCCGAATCCTGCGGCATCCATAGTCCTGGTTCGGAATCATGGCCGATGCAGAGGGCAGTCCCACGACGTGGAAGTTTACACAGTACGCCTACCCAGTCTCTCTACTGCACCTTTCCTAGCGTCTGCCTCGTGGGCCTTTGCAGCGAAAGGGTTTGTCGCGGTTGGTACAAGCTAACAATATCAGGTGCTTCGGTGACAAAGGCGATGTCGAAGACATAACAGAAGGTTCGTGGTCCGCGTAATATACTGCTCCACCGGCAACAGGAGTGTAGTAAGCACTTGCTAACTGGGTATAGCTGACATCATCTCCACTGTCGAGTTCGACCAAACGGGCAACTACCTTGCAACAGGTGACAAAGGCGGTCGCGTGGTGTTGTTCGAGCGAAACGAAACTGTACGTTTGGCGCCATCCCGCATCTTTGAAGGATAGTACTAATAGAACTCAGAAAAAAACCTGCGAATACAAGTTCCACACCGAGTTCCAATCGCACGAGCCAGAGTTCGACTACCTAAAATCCCTCGAGATCGAGGAGAAGATCAACAAGATCAAGTGGTGTCGTCGCCAAAATGCTTCGCACTACCTTCTTTCCACAAATGACAAGACAATCAAGTTATGGAAGGTGTTTGAGAAGTCGCTGAAGGTGGTAGCTGAAAACAATCTATCACACGAGCTGACGCCCGGTGGCGGGGTTGCTGGTGGAGGTGGTCCCGTCAGGAACCCGAACGCGCACTTCCGCAACGCCACCGACTTGAAGCTTCCCCGCCTTACACATCACGACACTGTTGTTGCAGCAGTACCTCGAAAGACGTATGCCAATGCCCATGCATACCACATCAACAGCATATCAGTGAACAGCGATGGCGAGACGTTCATTAGCAGTGACGATCTTAGGATTAACCTTTGGAACCTCAACATCCAGGACCAGAGCTTCAACATTGTCGATATCAAGCCAGCAAATATGGAGGAGCTGACAGAGGTCATCACCGCCGCAGAATTCCATCCCCTTAGCTGCAACTGGTTCATGTACGCGAGCTCCAAGGGCACCATCAAGCTCGCAGACATGCGAGAGTCTGCTCTCTGCGACCAGCATGCCAAGCGTAAGTCATTGTCCGTGTTTCAGAAGTACATCAATTAACTTCTGTGAACAGAATTCGAGCAAGAAGAAGACCCATCGTCCCGCTCTTTCTTCTCGGAGATCATCTCCTCCATCTCCGACGTGCGCTTCTCCCACGATGGGCGATACATCCTGTCACGCGACTACCTGACTGTGAAGATTTGGGATGTCAACATGGAGCGAACTCCTGTCAAGACCATCCCAATCCACGAACATCTTCGACCAAGGCTGTGCGATACATATGAGAACGACAGCATTTTCGACAAGTTCGAGGTCGTCTTCTCTGGTGATGCTAAGAACGTCATGACCGGAAGCTACAACAACAATTTCATGATCTACCCATCAGATCCAGAGAAGGATACCGAGGTTGTTCTACAAGCTGACAAGTCTGCATTCAAGGCCAAGAAAGTGGGCATTCCTACCCCAATGAACTCGTCGACTAGCCCTACAGGCAGCACCAGTAAGAAGGGTGGGTCAAGAGCAGGCAGCCCTGCAGCAGGCGCAGTCGGCCAGGGACAGCGGATGAGGAAGGAAACCGATGCAGACCAGATCGACTTCAACAAGAAGATTCTGCACATGAGCTGGCATCCATTCGAGGACAGCATTGCTATCGCAGCAACCAACAACGTAAGCTCCCACGATAGACTTGTTGACACCTTGTTTCGTTCGCTAACATGCTCTAGCTTTTCGTCTTCTCTGCATTGTGAGGAAGCTTTCCGTAGCGTTATCTCTCGCCCACGGCATTCGCAAATAGAAGCATTTCCACCTGTTTCCTTGGCGACCCATTTCTCGTATTGCTTTCACCTTTGGCATCAGCTCTTTCGGCGTCGCTAAGACGAGGTACTGGGCGGCTCACCAGAGCGGGGTGGGATTTGCTGATTGATGTCGCAACGTGCAATGGTAAGAAAGCATAGCAGTAGATTGATACACCACAATAATGACTCTGAAGTGGCAGAGAAGAAGGAAAGAAATTATGTTAAACTTCAATTATAAAATCGGAACGTGCCTGCACACTGTGTTGAATGTACTTGATGATATACCCACCAAGCAAGCACGAATGACATGCTGGACGCAAAGTCGTTAGAGCCAAAGAGGGAAGGCTTTGGCTTCTCATCTTCTGTAGAGTGTCGAGACATACGTGAGATCGGACTACGTTCGTATATGCATCAAATTGACGACCTTGGAACAGGTAGCTCGGTCATCAGCCTAGTGACTAGCATGCAGTACCCGTGCCAAGGATTTTGTGTAATCCTCGAAAAGAAGACAGGCAATCTCTCAAGGCTATTAAGGAACCGATGGGGCCGAGTATGAATTCTCGATGCAACTTCGGACAAATTAAGCACCCCAGTCAGCCCTACCAACCTTGGAAGCGATACGGCTAATCGCCGCTAGTGTCCGCATGAGGCTCAAAGTCTCCACGTCAGCGGTCTCTTCACATCATCACCCAGCTTTATCACTTTTGGTGCACTATGATAGGCCCGTGATTACTATACCCGCGTTCCTCCTTTCTCGATGTAAGTATTCGTTTGTTCCGAATAGCGCTTGTGCGCACCCTACTTTTGACTTCCTCTTCATCTGCAGTTTGCTGCTCGCGCACATTTCAATGTAGTTCAGTAGCTAATATAACGTATAGCTTTTGTCAAGGGCCAAGCCGTCAGCTATACATATAAAAATACATTCAAGGGTTCAACATGGCAGCCATCGCGTCGATCATTAGCAGCTTTTCGCTCATCTTTGGCGGCTGTTGCGCAAATGTAGGTTGTTTACATGTTCCTGGCGTTATTCTTCTAATGCAACTGCAGGTATATTGTCTCGAGGCGATTGTAAAGTGAGTCGCGCTACCATGGGGCTGTACCTGGGACTGACATGAGTAAAGGAAAGAACCCGACAGCGGGCTGCTCATCACGCTGTTCCAGTTTGTCTTTACTTGCTTGTCTACGTTACACTACCAGTTTGATCCCAATGGTCGTTATTTCCTCAGGTCATCGCCTGTGCCATTCCGAAAATGGTGCGTCAGCGCGACGCTGTTCTTCACGGTCAATATGCTGAACAACTGGGCTTTCGCCTTCAACATTTCCGTACCTGTCCATATCATTCTTAGAAGTTTTGGTAGTGTGACTACAATGGCTGCTGGATGGGCACGTGGCAAGCGATACACTCGCTTACAGGTGTTCTCTGTTGCGATCCTGACTGCAGGTGTAATGGTGTCTGCTTGGGCGGATGCACAGTCGAAGGTACTATCACATGTTCTCCGAATGTACACGTCGATTTACTGATTGGTACAGGGTAAACTCGCGAACAGCTCAAAGGTTGACATGACAAGTGGCTCCTTCGAGGCAGGCCTTGTCATCCTGCTTATCGCCCAGCTCCTTTCGGCATGGATGGGGGCCTATGTTGAGGACATATACCGCGACCATGGCAAAGATTGGCAAGCCAATCTCTTCTACTCACACCTGCTCTCGATCCCCATGTTCGCCGGCTTTGCTCCCATCCTCTACGATCAGTTCACTCGTCTCCAATCTTCTGAGTCATTCTCGGTCCCGGTCAGCGTGGCGGCACAGCTACCGCCTTCTCTTAACAAGGCTCTCGCATCGACGTCTCAGCACGTCATCTACCTCACGGCCAACGCAGTCACGCAATTACTTTGCATTACAGGTGTCAATATTCTCAGCGCCAATACCTCTGCGGTCACTGTGACGATAGTGTTGAACATTCGCAAGCTGGTCAGCTTCATGTTGAGCATCTGGATCTTTGGCAATCAGATGGGCGGACTGATGAAGGTTGGGGCTGGTATGGTGTTTGGTGCAGGCGCACTGTATGGGTGGGAGACTTCGTACCGCATTCCGCAACAGAAGAAACTGGAGTCAGCGAAAGGTAAAAAAGGTCAGTAAAGGAGAAGGTGATGCAGTGGAGCATCAGAGAGCCTTGGGAAGGGGGTTGAAGCTCGCTGGGGTGAGCGCGTCAAAGTGTATCAGTAGAAAGTGTACATGAGAACCTAGGGGGTGCCGCCCTTTGCTGAAATAGAATTACATTGCGCGCAACCAAACGTGTCCCACTGCATTCAATGTGGCGTAGCTGATGCGAGGGATAGAGCTAGTGTGAAAAGAGGCCCCTGTTGAGTATTAGGGGTGCCCTGGAGCCTAAGTGGCATTGGGGCCCGTGCGGGAGCTTGAAGCCACCTGGGCAGATCAGCTCTGGTCCTTGCAACTCTCAAACCCCCTCCTCTTCACCCCATTTTGAATTGACTTGAGGTCAGGTGAGTAGCCAGCAGCCGTCCAATTGCACTTTGGGGCCAAAGACTAACGTGCAAGGTGCAGGCAGCCTCAAGATAGAATCTACAATGTCATCTCCCGGCGGCCAGGTGAGGCAGCGCGCGACCAAGGACAAGAAGCGCCCGACGACACCAAACCCCGAGGCGCTCGCCGAGAAGGTGTCGGAAAAAGTCCCCCATGTGCTGGAAAAGGTAAAGCCCTACAAGCCGGCGCAGCAGGGCGGCGAGTGGGACTACAAGCTGGCCATCGCGGTCATGACGGTGCTGGCCTTCATAACCCGGTTCTGGGGCATCAGACACCCCGACCAGGTCGTCTTCGATGAAGTCCACTTTGGAAAGGTATGGCGTGTTCACGTGCTTGTTGCACCGCTCGAGGCTAACGCGGGCGCCAGTTTGCTTCGTACTATCTGCAGCGAACCTACTTCTTCGACGTGCACCCACCCTTCGGAAAGCTGCTCTTCGCCTTCGCCGGCTGGCTGGTCGGATACAAGGGCGACTTTCTCTTTGAGAACATTGGCGACTCGTACATCACCAACAAGGTCCCCTATGTCGCCTACCGCGCCATGCCCGCCTCGCTCGGCGCCCTCACCGTGCCCATCGTCTTCATGATCATGTGGGAGTCGGGATACTCGCTACCAGCTTGCGTCACTGCCGCTGGCCTGATGCTCCTCGACAACGCCCACATTGGCCAGACGCGCCTGATCCTCCTCGACGCTTCGCTCATCTTCTTCATGGCCCTCTCCGTGCTCTCGTACATTCGCTTCTACAAGCTGCGGCACGAGCCCTTTGGCCGCAAGTGGTGGAAATGGCTGCTGTTGACCGGTGTCAACCTGAGCTGTGTCATCTCCATCAAATACGTCGGTGTCTTCACTTTCTTCTCCGTCGGTGTTCCGGTCGCAATCGACCTCTGGGACCTTATGGACGTCAAGCGCCGCCAGGGTGCTCTGTCGCTTCCCGAGTTCGGCAAGCACCTCGCTGCTCGTGTCATCGGCTTGATCGTTGTTCCGTTCCTCCTCTACCTTTTCTGGTTCCAAGTCCACTTCTCCATCCTGTCCCGCTCCGGGCCAGGCGACGACTTCATGACCCCAGAGTTCCAGGAGACTCTGAGTGACAACATGATGACTCTCCAGTCCGTCGGAATTGACTACTACGACTCCATCACTTTGCGCCACAAGGAGACCAAGGTGTACCTCCACAGCCACCCGGACCGTTACCCTTTGCGATATGACGATGGCCGTGTTTCCTCCCAGGGACAGCAGGTTACCGGATACCCTCATAACGATACCAACAACCACTGGCAGATTCTTCCCGCCACGACCCTGCCCAGCGAGAAGGGTCAGCGTGTCAAGGTTGGGGACACAGTGCGCCTGCGCCATCTGATTACCGACTCTGTCCTCCTAACCCACGATGTCGCATCACCATACTATCTCCTACGAATCAAGAGTTTACTACTGTGAACATGGAAGAGGCGAACGGCTCACGCTTCAACGACACCTTATTCGAGATCAAGGTGGACAAGGGCAAAGGCGACTTCAAGACCATGTCTACCCACTTCAAACTCGTTCACGTGCCCACCAAGGTTGCCATGTGGACTCACACCTCACCTCTGCCTGACTGGGCTTACAAGCAGGCTGAGATCAACGGAAACAAGAACATCCAGCAATCCAGCAATGTCTGGTACGTCGACGACATTCCGTCTCTACCAGCCGAGGACCCGCGCAACAAGAAGGAAGCCAAGCAAGTGAAGAGGCTCAGTTTCCTCAGGAAGTGGGTTGAGCTCCAGCGCGCCATGTTCTACCACAACAACGCCCTGACCAGCTCTCATCCATACGCTTCGCAGCCAATTTCCTGGCCGTTCCTTCTCCGCGGTGTTTCCTTCTGGACCCATAACGACACCCGCCAGCAGATCTATTTCCTGGGTAACCCCATCGGATGGTGGTTGGCCTCATCCCTGCTTGCCGTCTTCGCTGGCATCATTGGCGCTGACCAGCTGGCTCTCCGCCGTGGCATGGACGCTCTCGATGACCGTAAGTGCCTCTCGCGCCTCAACACAAGACATTTATGCTAACAAGTACAATAGGCACTCGTTCTCGTCTATACAACTCTACCGGCTTCTTCTTCCTGACATGGGCAGCTCATTACATTCCCTTCTACATCATGGGTCGTCAGCTCTTCCTGCACCACTATCTTCCTGCCCATCTCGCCTCGTGTCTTGTCACAGGCGCACTGGTTGAGTTCATCTTCTGTATAGAGCCTATGGATGTTGAGTCGCCTACCATCAAGGGCCACCGCCGCACACAGTCACGTCCTGTCCGCGAGCGTATGGCTACTACCAGCCAAATGGGTAGCTGGATCGCCACCGGTGTTATCCTTGCCGCCACTCTCTGGAGTTTCCTCTTCTTTGCGCCGCTTACATACGGCTCGCCCGGTCTTGATGTGGCACAGGTGCAAGCGAGGAAATGGCTCGGATACGATCTGCATTTTGCCAAATAATTGCCTTAAACGCTTAGGGATCAATTCTTCGTTTGTTTCCGGTAGGGTTAAAAGCGGGGTATAAGTGGTGTATTAGTACCTAACATTTTGGAAAGCATATCACTTTTTGTAAAATAGGGCTAGGCCTGACTAGAATCTTCTTCTTATCTTTTGTACTATGAACGTGGTTATGGAGGTAGACAATGTACGCACATGTCGATAAAGACTATTTGCATTACAAACCTGAATACTGTGTCCGCTACGTACTGTTTTGACTAGAATGCTCGTTTCCCGAGAAGACTAATGCTAGCGAAATCTGTGAAGCAGACTATTTGAGCATGTCGTCTTTATCTGAAACCCCCTTGCCCTCGATACTGCCGTGAAGCTGTATAGGCCTATCTATAGTCTGCATGCATCTACGATAGTGTTACTTGAGTTTCAGCCTGCGTATCTTTTGTAAATCTCAATCATGACCTTTTCGTATCTGGTGAATTGATTACGAACCTAGTTAGCCTTCACTCGAGGAACGACTTCTAGAATACTACAATATTGAGCGCTTCCTTATCGCAATGCACTAAGTTAGACACATTTATCTTCTGAACAGAATGTAGCTGGAGTGCTTTCTGGCGTAATGATTGCCTATCGACTTCGTCAAATTGTGCCATTTATTTCACTCTTTTGTTAAGTATAGAGGGTACCGAACTATCTCAATTAACGATTGCGCCTCCGTTGAACAATCACGAGCGGTAGCAAGTGATAAAAATCCAAGAGAATGTGTGGAGGATGGTGAGCTGGAGCGGGAACAGTGAAGCATGCTTGCCAGCACTAGTGCCGGAGGTTGCGGAGTTGACCTGCGGATCCCAGCAGTCGCGCTATGATGCATTCGTCACCAGCGCGGTAATGCCTGTGGCTGTCAGCTTGCATCCACCCAACCCAGTACTCGAACAGCATCCGCATTCCTATCTTTCGAGCCTTTCAGCACAGCTGCATCACCATATTCTTTCCTAAATCAGATCTGCGTGCTGTGAAACCGTGGCCGCAGCTTCTCCGTGCGGCGCATTCGCGTGTTTCAGAGCGCCAAGCAGTTGCCTTCAGCATCTCACGGCGAGGCTGTGAACGGCGAAGCAGCCAGCTGTTCATTAGCTCTGCGCCTGCTCTCTCTCCGCACCACCACGTTTCTCCCTCGCCTTGATGCATGATGAAATACCTTAAGGGCCTCCTGCTGCCCGCACTGCTGGCATTAGCACCTTCCGCCACAGCTGCCAAAGACGCGCCTTCCATCGAGACGACCACGTTTAGCAACGAGCTTGTAAATCTGCAGTACTTTGACGATTCCACCGTTGCTCTCGTGCAGGAATTGGGGAGCGGGAAGATATACCGGTCACCTGATGCTGGCAAGGCCTGGAAGGAGCTCAAAGACCTGAAGAAAGGTCTGGGGATAATCAAGAACCCATACGATAACAAGGTTGCTCTTGTCCTGGGCGAAGAACAGCACTGGATTACGTACGACCAGGGCGAGACATGGCAGGACTTCAAAACCGAGTACTCGCCGTCGCCGAACGGACCTGTGAGCTGGCATTCACAGGACAACAAGAAGATCTTGATCCATGAAATTGAAGATTGCTTATTTACCCCATGTTTGGGACTCACTTACTACACCACCGATGGCTTCAAGACAAAACCGAAGACTCTGGTCGAGGGCCGCAGAATGTGCCAATGGGCAAAAGGCTCGGAGCGCTTCCTCGAGGGACAGGAGAAGCACGACGATCGCATATTGTGCATCCTGCGCGGCAAATACTCAGACCGCTCTAAAGACTTCAGGCTCATGATCAGCGATGAGTAAGTAGCCAACCGGAACGTGCACGCGACCAAATGCTGACCTACATACAGTTACTTCAAGACCGCAGAAGAACCTGTCATGTCATCCGGACGCACCGTTCAGGGTATGGCCAACATGGCCGCCGTAAAAGGCTATCTAGTCGCTGCCGTGAAAGCCGACCACTCGAGCGAATTGTCCCTCTACGTCACCCAAGACACGGAAAACTGGCACCATGCGCAATTTGGAAACGGCAAAATTGAGGAGGATGCGTACACCATACTCGAATCCACAAATTATAGCATCCAGGTCGATGTCATGTCCTCCAAGTACGTGTCCATTGGGTCATTGTATACCAGTAACTCCGACGGTCTATATTTTACCAAGAATGTCGACAACACAAACCGCAATCCAGATGGATTTGTCGATTTTGAGAAGATCGCAAACATTCAGGGTGTCGTGCTGGTAAACATTGTGGACAACGCCAAAGCTGTCCAGGAACGAGGCGCACACAAGAAATTGAAGTCGCGCATCAGTTTTGATGATGGCAGGACTTTCGAGGAGCTCAAGGTGAAGGGTAGCGACAAGGAGTTACACTTGCATTCCTGTGACCAACCTTCACAACAGCGGAACGCGTCTTCTCTAGCCCAGCTCCTGGAATTGTCATGGGTGTCGGAAACACGGGAGATGAACTCGGCAAATACACCGACGGCGATCTGTATGTTTCCGATGACGCTGGTCTGACCTGGGAGCTTGCACTGGACGAAGCGCACAAGTACGAATTTGGCGATCAGGGGTCCGTCCTGGTGGCTGTGTTCGACGAGGGCGATACTGACAAGGTCATGTACTCGCTCAAGCACGGTCGGAAGGACACTTGGAAATCCATCGATCTTGGCTATAAAATTCGCGCGCGCGAATTAACAACGCTCTCGGACTCAACGTCGCTGAGGTTCTTGCTCTATGGGTCGAAGAAAAAAGACGGCGGCGGTCGCGAGCACGTGCTCATTCAGCTAGACTTCAACGATTTGCACGAGCGAAAATGTGAAGACAAAGATTTCGATCCAAAATGGTCGGTACGTGTGGATGAAAAGGATAGTCCCAGCTGTGTCATGGGTCACAAACAGTTATTCCGAAGGCGCAAGTGGGATGCCGAGTGTTTCATTGGGCGAACCCTTCAAGGACCCTACCCCCACTTTCGAGTCCTGCGAGTGTGACGAATTCCGAGACTTCGAATGCGATTTTGGGTTCAAACCTGAGGGTGAGGGCAAAGACAAGAAATGTGTCCCTGAGAAGTTGACTCTGCCAAAGGACGCGTGTAAGAATGGAGACTCGACCTACATGGGCAGCTCTGGCTGGAGAAAGATATCTGGAAATCAGTGCAAGGGTGGCTCGAAGAAAGACGAGAAAACCGAGCGCAAGTGCGACGAAGCCGATCTACCGCCACCAAAGAGCGACAAGATTACCAGCGAGATCACCAGGTTCAAGGGTAGCAACTTTTTGGAGCAATACTACCTGGAACGATCTACGCAAAATGATGATGACGAAACCGACCATGACGAAACTGTAGTCATGTTGACGGACGAGCGCACTGCTTGGATCACCCACGACCATGGCAAGCAGTGGAAGAAGGCTGTTGATGACGAGGTTGTGCGAATCTATCCTCATCAGTACGACAACAACTATGTCTACTTCCTCACGGCATCCAAAAAGGTCCATTACTCAGAGGACCGTGGACTTCGCAACAGCATCCACTCGTTCGAAGCTCCTGTTATGCCAAACCAGGAGATGCTGCAGATCCTACAATTTCATCCAAAGCAGAAAGGCTGGCTTATCTGGATGGGCGGCAAGAACTGCGAGAAGGTCAACAGCAAAGAATGCCACACTGCAGCCTACGTTTCTCAGAAGAATGGCAAGGATGAGAGCTGGGAGCCGTTGGTCTCTTACGTCAAGAAGTGCGCCTTCGTTTGGCGTGAAGCTGGCCGTGATGTAAAGGAAGAGCGGGTATTTTGCGAGCAGCACGCTAATGAGGAGACGGGCGCTCCACTCCAGCTTATATCCAGCGACGATTGGTTCAAAAAGCAAGACGTCAAGTTCAAATCGGTCGTGGAGATTGCACTCATGTCAGAATTTATCATTGTGGCAACCAAAGAGAAGGACGACACGCTTCGTTTGGATGCCAGTCTTGACGCAAACACTTTTGCGGAAGCCCGCTTTCCACCCAAATTCTTCGACATCCATCAGACGGCTTACACTGTCTTGGATAGCTCCACCCATGCCATATTCCTCCATGTCACAGTCAATCCCCGCGTAGACCAGGAGTATGGATCCATCATCAAGAGTAACAGCAACGGAACATCGTACGTCCTCAGCCTGAACGCCGTGAACAGAAACACTGAAGGCTATGTCGACTTTGAAAAGATGCAGGGACTTGAAGGTGTTGCAATCGCTAACGTTGTCGTCAACGTCAATGAGGTGAACGATGGCGCCAAGAAGAAGAAACAGACTCGCATCACACATAATGACGGCGCCGACTGGAGAGGCGTTGAAAGCTCCAGAGAAGGACGCGGAGGGTAAGGCATATGAGTGTGCTGGCAAGGGCGAAGAGAAGTGCGCTTTGCATGTCCACGGCTACACCGAACGTGCGGACCCTCGTGAGATGTACTCGTCGCCGACAGCAGTTGGTCTGATGCTTGCCGTTGGTAATGTCGGAGAAGAACTCGGTACTTTTGGCGAAGCCGACACTTATATGACTACCGACGCTGGTCTTACCTGGAAAGAGATCAAGAAGGGTAGCTATGCGTGGGAGTTTGGTGACCAGGGCTCGGTCATTGTCATTGTGCGCCGAGGCGAAGACACAGATCATGTCTACTACACGCTCGACAGCGGTGAAAAGTGGAATCTCTACCAGTTCTCAGAGCGCAAGATCCGCGTCGACGCAATTACCACGGTTCCAAGCGATACATCACTCAACTTCCTTCTTTGGGGCAAGGACGGCAAGGAGCTTGTTGCAGTCAATCTCGATTTCTCGGGTCTACCTCAGTTCCAAAGAAAATGCGATCTCGATGAAAAAGATCCCGAGAAGGGAGATTTCGATCTTTGGATCCCGCAGCATCCTCTACAGCCAGACGACAAGCAATGCCTCTTCGGTCACGTCGCCGAATACCACCGCAAGAAGCGTGACGCGGAATGCAGGAACGGGCAGCGCATCGACCACATGCACAACATCCAGAGAAACTGCACGTGCACGCGGCGCGACTACGAATGGTAAGACATGCCCTTTGTACATGATGACCAAGCAGAGGCTAACGCGTTCACAGTGCATACAACTATGAGCGCCAACCCGGAGGTGAATGTAAACTCATTGAAGGCCTTGACCTCGAAGATCCCACAGCCGTGTGCTCCAAAGGCGCAAAAGAATTTTGGGATGTGTCACCGTACCGCAAAATTCCCCTTTCTACATGCGAAGGCGGCAACGAATTCGACCACATGGGTGATGTGCACCCGTGCCCTGGATTCGAAGAAGAGTTTGAGAAGAAACACGGCATCTCTGGCTTCGGCCTCTTCATGGCCATTGTGCTCCCCTTTGCGGCCGCGGGCGGCATCGGATACTATGTCTGGCGCAACTGGGATGGCAAATTTGGACGCATCAGGCTTGGGGAAAACGGGGGGGCTTTTGACAGCGACAGTCGGTGGGTGCAGTGGCCGATTGCAGCGATTTCGGGTCTTGTGGCCGTTGTGGCGGCGATACCTATGCTCGTGGGCAGTCTGTATAGGATGGTGACTGGGCGCATGGGAGGTGGATATGGTGGGCGAACGTACACTAGCAGGAGTTCGTTTGCGAGAGGCCGGGGCGACTACGCAGTGGTGGATCCGGACGAGGGAGAGCTGCTTGGGGACGACAGTGACGAGGAGGTGTAAGATAAAGATGGCTGTTAGACGTGTGTAGTAAAGTCGGGCTCGGCGAACCCGAGTGCTGCATGAGAGGAGTCGTGTGATGTTTAGTGGTAGACTTGCGCTTGTACATTCGTTGTAAGAATTCATACAGTTGGAATCATTGTAGCTCGTTTCGTGACTGACCGAGTCGCGTGAAACATCAAAGTCATGATGTGAGCTCTACTTGATGTTGCTCGTTGCGCCACATAGCCTCACGCAAATGCAACATTACAGGGACACGCCCTTGTGGTTCAAGTAAGGTGATGATGCGGCGCAACTCAACTCGGCGCTGTCGATCAGTGCCCGAATCCTGCCAGATCCAGCGGGCCGGCACCACGGGGCGAGTGCAAGGTCACCAAGGTGCGATAAGTTTAAAATAACATGGCTATTCTTGCTGGTCGAGAGATCAACAGCAATGCGAGAGGCATTGTATGACAGTAGGTACAGCTGTGACAGTTGTTCATGCCGAGCATGTGGATCTTGACTAGCTGACGAACAACAGCGCGCCGACTCATGCGGAGTTCGAAACGCGTGGTGCGATTCGCAAATGAGATCTGGCAGCGCGAAACATAGGGAACACAGCGGCGCGCGTGGGCTTGAGTAGCCATGCCGGATGCCGCGGGCGGACGAAGTCACTTTCAGGCGAAAAGCGTACCAGGTACAGTTGTGATTTGGAAATGTATTCGCAGATAGTGCCTGTGGGTATTTATCCATGGGGCCAGAGACAGCATGCGCTTTGAGGGACTCCCATGGTGATAGGCGACTGTGCAGCAAAGTCCGGGGCTCACTGCGTATGGTGCAGTCAAGGCGAACCGAAGGTGACCTGCAATCAGCGGGTGAAACGCGCGCTCACGGGACACGAGTGGCTCGGAAAGTTTTGGTTTGTGCGAATGCGTACAAGTGTGTTTTGACACGTTGGAGCGGCATGTACGACGGCGGCCGAGGCAGCGGCAGCAGGTTGGTTGGCCAGCACCAGCAGTCTGGTGTTTCTCCCGGAGCGGAAGGGCGGTGGTGCGTGGTGCGTGGTGCGTAGTGCGTGGTGCATGAATCTCGCGGCCCCTGATGGGCTGTCTGCTGTTGAGTGCGGGTTTATGCAACCTGTGGGGTGAATGGATGGGAGTGGCTCAGTGGCGCTCGATGGGGCTTGCCAGATTGGGGACGCTGTCGCGCGCCCACGTTGTTTCAGGACAGGGTCGGCCAATGAGGAAGGCAGGACCCTGGACGACTCCTTCCTTCTGCGTCGACGTCGTGAATTCGACATTGCTGGGGCGCGAATTGTGCGTGTCACGACGCACAGCTGAGTCCCACTGCCGCCACCATGGCTGCACGCGCGCAGGGTCCGCCGCCAGCCTTGTTCCTGGCAGCAAACAATCTCTGTCCGTCGATCACCGCCCAATGGTGCATCGAGCAGTGTCGACCGCACCTCGCTTCGCAGGGCTTGCCGTCCCACTTGGTATCCTGAAGCAGGCGGTGTGGCTTGGCGGACGGGCAGCCGGTGTGAATAGGGCATGGTAGGTTGCGGGAGCCAAGGCGTTTCATATGCAGCTGCGGCTTCGAGGAGCTTGGGTGGCTCATGGCCTGGACGCCTGCGACGCGAGTACATGAGGCCTCGTTCGTGGCTTCTTTCCTGACCCAGGCCTTCCGTCTTGGTACTTCTTTCCTCCGACAACCTTCAAACAATCCTTCTTTTCTTTGACACACGCTCACTTCGTGCTTACATTCATTCATTAGGAGTGCCTTGCCCGTCACAGGTCCCAGCCGGTCTTTCACCTCACTCTCACTTCCGCTTTACCCTTCTTCTTGCCGCCCGCACTTCACCTACACTTTGCGTGCTGGCACGTCTTGGCTCCAACGCGTAGCTCCTCACACCTGCCGACCCTGACACAGGACTTCGCCGCACCTTCATTGTCTGCGCGTTGATGTAAGTCCCACCTTCTCACACTGTACACGGTGAATCGACAGTGCCTTTCCGTGCTTGCCTCACGCTGTTACCCCACATTGTCACTATATTATCGACTTGTCCCCGCCTTGTACGCACACCTCGCCCTGCCACAGAACTACTTCAAATACTTCTCGGCAGGTTTCTTGCCTGTTTCATATCTACACACCAATACTACTTTGGAGTCACGTTATTGGCAAACGCATAGACAAACACTTACCAGTGATAGCGCTATCCGCATTCATTCTCTTCCCGACTTATACCTTTAAGACGGTTGCCGCCTCTTTCTCTGACTCTCCCATCACCTACGTTTTAGTCGGATCCGGATCTTTTTTTGTAGTCCAACATGAAGAGCTTCTTTACCGTTGCCGCCAGTCTTCTGGCCCTGGCATCTACGACTCTCGCCGTAGCGCCTCGTCAAGATGGCTTCATCAGCAAATATGCGCTTCCCGCCAACCACTCCACGGAACTGAAAGAGTACATCATCACCTTCCAGCGCAACGAAACTATTCCCCCAAAGGTCGACACCTACCTGGACATGCTCGAACTCAAGCGCAATGCTCCTGACGGTGGTGACATTATTCTTTACGAGTCAAATAACACAAGCCCCGATGCGACCAAGGTCATCATTTTACGCATGTGCGACGAACACGCCGACATCATGCGCGAGTTCTCCGAAATCAACGTCGTAGAGCCAAAGGCTGAGATCCAGTCGTACGAAACCCGCAACGGGGCACCATGGGGTCTGCAGCGCATTTCCAGCGAAGCTGGCGCGTCTGGTTCTCCCCAAGGCCAAGACTTTACCTACACGTTCGACGATCCGTCCCTCGGCAAAGGCGTCGATATCTATGTTGTCGACACTGGTGTCCGAGACACACATGCCGTCTTCACTGGTCGTGCTTCCCAGGGTTTCTCCGCAACTGGATCTCCCGTTGACGGAGATGGCCACGGCACTCATTGTGCTGGTACTGCTGGAGGCGCCAAGTTCGGTGTCGCACAGGGTGCCAACATTATTGCTGTCAAGGTTCTTAGCGATGATGGTTCTGGTTCGTCCTCTGACACTATCAAGGGCATGGACTGGGTCATCTCTCGCCACGAGCAGCGTAAAACTGAGCCCGGCTTTGTTGGCTCCATCATGAGCATGTCTTGGGGTCTCCAAGGAACTGCCAACTCAGTTGATGAGGTCATTGCTGGTGCCTCCGCGGCTGGTATTCACGTCTCGGTCGCTGCTGGTAACGACGGTATTGATGCCTGTGGCTCTACCCCTGCTCACCTCGGTGGCGCCAACTCCAATGTTGTCACTGTCGGCTCTGTCAACATCCGCAACACCGTCTCATCGTTCTCCAACACCGGCAAGTGCGTCGACATCTACGGCCCTGGCGAGCAGATTCTCAGCGCGTGGGCCACTGGTGACACAATCATCAACTTCTTGTCTGGAACCTCCATGGCCTGCCCTCACACCACTGGTGTCATGGCTTACCTCATGGCGCAGGACGCTGCAGCCTTGGGCCAGAACCCGGCAGCTCTCAAGAAGAAGCTTCTCGAGACAGCCCGCCAGTCTAAGATCACCGGTAACCTCGGTGGAAGCGCGAACTTGCTTCTCAGCAACGGCGTCAATGGCACTCCGGCTACCAAACGTCTCATGAAGAACTATGTTGTTCCTGACCGAAGCGGTTCGCCCGCTGCCCGTGCTGCGGCTTCCATGTCCGGTCGCGATATCGTCATCGACGAGCGCTTCCAGCTTCACTCTCGCGACTCCAAGCTCCGCTTCTAGAGTCTTATCAACGCACCAGGCGGGGCCGTATGAAACGCTCTCATTGTCCCGATATGACCATCAAAAGCAATCCTACACGGCGGGCTTCTAGCTTAATAACTCTGCATGGCGTGGTATGGAATCTCGTTTTTCTTTCGACTTTGTCAAGATCTCATTGTGTGTACCTATGTAAATCTCAGAATGGTGGATGTCAGAGGCTTAATTTTCGCTGTCAATACTTTTTACCGCAGGCATGACTGCATTGACATGGGGCGATATTTGTGCGCCACGACTCTATGCAGCATAACCTTTATGCGTAGCTGTGGACTGCATACAGCGGTTACAGTAATACCCAACAACTCAGTAAATATCAAATCAAATCTATTATGAACAAAATCTTTTCGATCTCTGTATGCACCTTGATTGCGATCGTCCGTCGATCTCCGAGATCATCTCGCGTATATGCAAGAAATTCTGTTGACAGCTGCCGTGTCTATCCCGATCATGTGGCTTAATTTTAGTACCTTTGTACACCCAATATTATCTGCCTCCCGTCCCGTACTAGCAATAAATGTCTTCATGACGAAGAAAGTCGGTAAGCTAGTACCTGAACTAGCACTGAACATTGCGCATGCTTCCACCGGTACACATTTGTACTCGTCAGCTTTGTCTCCACAACGTGTGCTCCACAACGTTCAACTAGATACTCGAGACGCGCAACACGCTCTCGACCCTTCTTCGATGCGTAATCCATGAAGCCTTCCATCTGCCGATATCCCTGGTGGCGATAGGACTTCTCTCCTGGGGCATGATGTGCTGATCATGCCGGAAGGGTTTTACGCGGCGCCAAGAATGTGGTTGGTGATGCGGTGGCAGGGACCCTGGGGTAGATCAAACCGTAGGGGCGACATTCTGGGTCACGTGAGTCGAGCAAAGATGGGATTTCGGTGTTGGAGAATGAGGGTGGAGTTTCGGTCACGCATGAATGCCGAAAGGAGGTGCCATGGAAATCTTTGGCACTTCAATCGCGAACGGATGGAGGCTCAGCTTCGATGGAATGTTTGCACTGGATTGGACATTTTCAAGGTCGTGATCTCCTTGCCTAGGTAGGATTTTGTCGCATTGGCTGGTTAGTGATTCACTTACACAGGGATCTTGTACAGTGAGTTCTAGACTGTCCAAGCGCTGAGCTGAATTAGGGCCTGTCTGGTTACGCCGGTTTTGCCAGGCGTTTTAGTAATATATTAGGTAAAGCTCGTAATAAGAGGCAGGGTGGCAAATGGGTATAGGTTAGGTTATAGTTAAGTATTATGTAATATAAACCCTAAATTAACCTAACCTATACCTAAACTTTCTAGCTAGAATAAGTATAAGTTAGGTTATAGTTACGAATATTTAAGTTATAGTTAAGTTTATAGTATATAGATATATATAAGTCTTAGTTAGCAATTTTTTCTTTATAGTAGAAGTAATATTTTAGTAACGCAATAGTTATTATAGTTATTTATTATAGTAGAGACGTATTTATATTCTAAACTTCTTAATTATATAGAGAAAGTAGCTAGTGCCTATACTGCGTCTATATTTAGACTTACAGAGACTTTTATATACTTATTTAAGTACCTGCTATTATAGCTTAGAAATAGTAGTAATATAAGTAGCTTCTTATAGTAGCGCATAGTAAGCTTACTATACTTTATATAAAGTTTTAGTTTTATACTTATATAAGTACTTGCTAGTATAGCCTATAAATAGGTTTAATATAAGTAGCTTCTAGTAGTAGCATATAGTAAGCTTACTATTCTTTTTCTAAATAGTAATGCGCTTAGCATATATTATATTAATATTATAGTCTAGAGATATTAGCATATATTAATTAAAGTATAATATAATATACTCTTAAAGTAGCTAATAAGAAAAGCCTCTAATACCTCTTAGATTATATTAATTATAACTCTCTAAAATTAAAAATTAGGCCTATATTACTAAGTAATCTCTCTAATAAGATAGTTAAGCAGAGCCTTAGAAATAAGTATTTCTATTAACTTCTAATATTAATAAATCTATCTTAGAGATATAGCTAGGTATAGTAAGTAGTTAGATATAATAATAAGCTATAATAATATACTGCCTAGCTTATAGCAATAGGCCTTCTTGCTACTAGCCTTAGCTCTTCTAGTCTTAGTATTTATTAAAGGCTTAGTGCTAAGTTTAGAGATAATAGGTTTCTTGCGCGCAGCTATAGAAGTAAGGTTCTTTTTAAGCTCTTTACTACTAACTTTAGCTAATCTCTTTCTCTTAGCCTTAGCAGTGCTAACTCTTAACTTAGAAGTTTTTAAAGTTTTCTTCTAACGCAGAGGCTACTCTTTAAGGTTATTATTAAACCTTTCTTCTTTATTATTATTAGCAAAGTTCTTATTACTGCTAATTTAAGAATCTTTAATATTAGTAAGTATAGAAATCTTAGCTAAGATAGATATAATAGAAGTCTCTTTCTTATTATTACTACTACTAGAGGCTAATACTTAAGAAGATATATTAAAATATATTAAGAAATTTAAAGAAGTTATAGTAGTAGTATATAGAGAAAACTTAATAATTTAAATATCTACATAGATCTACTAGCGTGCGTAGATCTCTGCTAGCGTAAAAGTAGCAGAAAGCTCTAGTTTTAGATCTGCTACTTCTATATAGAGCTAGATATAAGATAATAAACTATAATAATTTATAAGCTAATAGTTTAGAGTCTATGCTTTCTCCTAGCACTAGTTTTATTAAGATATAGCTATTTTAGAGCAAGATATTCCTAGTTAGAGAGATAAAAACCTCTTTTTTTAGAAGTTTTATTTATCTCTTATCTATTTATAAGCGCTATAGCCTCTGTAGCGCAATGCACGTCTCTATATATAATAAGAAACTATAATAATAAATAGGATAATAGTACTTACTACTAGCTTTTATTTTACACTAATTTTAGCTTAGTCTAATATCTAGAGAATTTAATATATATTATATAGAGTTATTAACTTAGCAACTGCGCTAGTATAGCTTTTAGATAGTAGCGCATAGGCTATAACTTTATATTCTTAACTTTCTAAACTTTAGATTAGCTACTTCTCTACTACTAGATTTTATTATATACTTTTATTACGCTACTTTATAATATAGCATAGTATATACTTAAGAAGAAAATCTAGATATACTAGAGAGTCTACTACTAGATTATAACCTTACTATTCTAGAGAATTTTAGTTTTAATAAGTAAGTTAAGATTAGTAAGATATTATTATAGCGTTTTATAATAGCATATACTAATATAACTAGAGATTTAAGTTAAGACTAGATAAAGTTAGTTAGATTCTTATACTTTATAGTTAAGAAGTTAAGTATAGCTACTCTACTAACTTTACTATTAATTTTAAGCATAAACTAAGTACTACTGCTTATGCTATAGCTTAGAGAGAGTATACTACGCTAAGATCTAAAGAAGAGAGAGTACTTATAAAAGTAAAAGATACTAACTAAGCTATAAAGAAATATCTTAGAAAGTATATTAGAAAGAATTTTCTAGAGTATAATTCTAATATACTATATAAGAGTTAGCCTAGAAAGATTAGAGATATATATAAAGCGCTTACAGAAAAGCGCTTTAGATAGAAGTCTAGTAGTAAGTTATTATATACCTTTATTATAGTTAAATGCTTACTCTACTATAGCTAAGTAGCTAGAGAATACACTAATAAACGCTTATAAGAGATAGAATAATATTAAGCAGAAAATTAACCTATACGTATATTAGCTAACTCTTAATAAAGCTAATAGAGCTTCTGCTAAGAAAGTTAAATGCTCTAAATAGAGTAAAGGCCTAAACTCTGCTAAGCGTCTATTTAGCTCTAGTAGCATTCTTAAGAAGATTATACGCTAAGAGTATAAGTTAGGCTTTAAAAAGCTTTAGTCTAAAGAGTTTAAGAGTAAAGCTAAAAAGAAGAAATAGTAGAGATTTTGCAGAAAACTTTCTACTAATAACTTTAAAGTTATAAGAAATAATAACTAGAAGTAAGTTTATTATATATACTTATTATATATAATAACTAATACTACTAGGCTATGCTACTCTAAGCATATTAAGGAAACTAGTAAGTACGTTCTAAACCTAGACTATAAAGTCTAGGTTAAAGATATAGATAAGAAGAAATTTAAGCTTAAGAAGTACTTAAGTAGGCTTCTAAATAACTATAGACTAGATAGTAAGCTTAGTAAGAAGAATAAGAGTAAAGAAAAAAAGCCTAAGGTAGATAGTATAGAAGAAGCTATAGTAATTAAAGAATAAGAATTTAGAATTAGAAACTAAAAAGGCGTTAGACTTTAAGAGGTTCTTAAACTAGCTAGATTCTAAAATAGCTAGTGCTTTAAACAAAGCATAAACTTAGAGGTATAATACTAAGCTATTATCTAAGCTAATTATTATAGAGTAATACTTAAAAACTCTGCTAGCTTCTAAATACGCTGTACCTTAATATACTAACTATAACTCTTATACGCATATAATATAATTACTAATATATATTACGCTAAGTAAGCGTAGAGAGTCTGTGCATCTATGCATACGTCTGTATCTGCTTTGTACTTATTATTAATAACTTATAACTTAGTATTTTAACTTATAGTCTATATAATTTTAAAAATCTATCTACTTATATAACGCCTAATAAATATAACTACTCTTATATTATTACGTTCTATTATTATAAGAATATCTATTCTATTAGCTAATATTACTAAATTGTTTCTAGAAGTTCTAGAAATTCTGTATAAGCTAGAGCTTAGAGCCTCTTCTCTCTAATAAGGAGATAATATAACTATGCTCTAGATTCTCTGTTAATCTAAACTAGATGCTAATATAGAGTTATTTGTAGCTTAGAATAGCTAATAGAATAATACTTGTTATAGCAGAAAGAAGTTAGAACCTAGAAATTTACGCTAGAACTCTACTGTGCATATAGCTACTATATAGATCTATT